AGCCCCCGCCTCAGCTCCGGCTCTGAACGGCCAGACACACAGGCTTGGGGCTGAGAGCCACTCGGACGGGGAGCAGAGTGGGGAGGGAGGCAGACGCCAGATGAAGTGGGACGCGCCGACGTCTGCCCACAGAGCAGAGAATGTGATTCCAAGGAGCTCAGGCTTCTGGTTCCAGTGGGACAGGGACCCTGACCCCCACCCCCTGCCCAAGAGAGGGCTAGACAAGGGTGGAAGATGGCAGAGCAGGAGCGGGGTTAGCCGAAGGCAGGAAGGGGCCCCTCCCTGTCTGTGGACGCAGCAGCCAGCAGGAAGACTGAACGAAGCATCCCAGGACCCAGAAAGGGCCAGAAAGCAGAAGCTCCAGGTCGTTGTGAAGACGGGGTCAGGAGTGAGGAGGGAAGCCTGGGGATGGTTTGCACGTCTCTGTGGAAGACTGGATCTCTAGGTCCCCCGTCCGAAGGCTACGGACCTGGCAGGGCCCCCTTGTCAGCCAGCCCCGGGAGGGAAAAGGCTGGGTCATTGGAGAAAGTGCGTCCGGGAGGCTCTGAGCTCGGGGCGTCAGGCCCAGCTGGGACACAGGGAAACGGGGGTCGGATCGAGGCACAGTCGTCAGTGTCCGTGTTGGGAAGGGAGGGCAGCCAACCACTCGCCCCACTGCAGTCGCAGAAGGTGGCCCGCCAGAGGGACCCGGCCCCAAGCAGAGATTGAGGGGTGCTCCGTGGAGACACAGGTCCGAAGAAGAGGCTCCCAGGTCCTGACAGCTCACCCTACCCACACACACACAGGCAGGCCTTCCATCCGGCTTCCCGTGTCCTACCCTTCAAGGGGAGCAGACCACCAGGAACCCCGGGTATCTGCGAGCAAAATCTCTAACACGACGCAGCCCAAAACATGGACGCCAGTACGCGGCAGGGACTGTTCTGTGTTGTAGGATGGAGCAGTGAACGGAGTCACCGCATACAGTACACCTGGTTCGTATTCTGCGTGAATCCGTTTCCCTTGATGCTGTAACAAACTACCACCATCCTAGAGGTTTAAAGCCACGCTAATTCATTTATGCTAATGTTCTGGAGATGGGAAGTCTGGAGGGAGTCTTATGGGGTTGAAATGAGGCTGTCAGCGGGCTCCTCTGGGACTTCCGGCTTTAGCGGCTTCCGGAAGGCCGGGCCCTGCACTCCTGGGCTCCTGGCCCCGCATTACGTTACCTTTTACCTTGCTTTGCTCACCGCGGACCCCTCCTCTGGTCCTGTCACCTACCAAATGCCCCACTGCCTCCCGTTTGTGAGGACACTTACGAGTGTGTTGGGCCCAACTGGACGATCCAGGCTCATCTCCCTGTTGCAAGATCTGGAATGCCGTGTGCAGAGGCCCCTCCGTCTGGAACGTCATGTGCTCACCGCTTGCAGGGATAAGGGTGTGGATGTCACCCAGTGTGAGTGTGTGTTGTGATGACGCTGTGGGTTCTCTACGTTGGGTGCATTTGCTCTAAGCGATTATCCAGCACCTGGGCCTGCAGCCTCAGCCATTGAACCTGGTGCTTCTTGAGTTTGGAAATATATACCTGTGTTTCCCTTAAAAAAAAAAAAAAAAAAAAAAAATAATTTTTAGAAAAGAGATGAACTTTGGAGTGCCAGTCGATCCAGGGCTCAAATGGAGAACTTCTAGCGAATTATGGAGCTGGCCCCCCAGGAAGAGGTGGCCCGTGATCGTGTTTGCATTTTCCCAGACAGAGCGTATGTTTTCGCGTTGGGAAGGAATGGGAGGTCGTTGCTGTCCTTGGAGGAAGAAATGCTTTGCTTTGGAAACAAAAGCATCAGGTTCCTTGCCGGGCGATGCGTCGGCCTGTGTTTGGAGCACCTATTGTGTGGGGCGGACGGGTTGGGGGAAGGTCCCACAAAAGGAGATGGTGCGCCACCCGCTGGCGTCCTTCACGTCCGTCTGTGTGCTTGGCCCTTGCAGGAAGATGAAGCTCCGTCTCCTCCTGCTGTTGCTCCTGTGTGAGGCCCACAGCCACGCGGCCTCGAGGCCCAACTTCGTCCTGCTGATGGCCGACGACCTTGGCATCGGAGATCCTGGTTGCTATGGGAACGAGACGCTCAGGTGCGCCTGCCGCGTGACGAGCTGGGCGGCAGGGACGTGAGCTGACGCGCACAGAGCGCAGAACGCCCACACGTGTCAGAGCCCTTCCGGGCGCACAGGTGCATGTGTGGCTTTACGGAGACGCACATGCGTACGGGCGTGAGGAAGGCGGGTGGGACGCGATCGGGTCGCACGAGGTAAACCCAGGGGGACCGCGAGAAAGGTCTTCCTAAGGACTCGTCCTTACGCAGACATACTGTGCTGCTTTCCACCCGTCTCCTCCTTTTCCCCGTTCCATTGCTCCCACTCTTTTAGGCCAGTTGCTCTGTTGGGTACTGGCTCCCCCCCGCCACGGCCCCCGTCCCTGCTGACCAGCTCCACGCCTTCTTGCTGTCACCATGAGCAGCCAGCCTGGCCAGGGACAGGTGGTACAGGACAGATGCCAGGTGGGAAGCCTGCACAAGTTCCCAAGCTCCAGGGGTCACCGCAATGCGCGGAGACGCGCGCGCCCCGCACCACACTGCAGCTCGCAACACGGTGGCGTGGCTCTGTGTCAGGTCAAACAGAAAGCGGGCGTCTGTTGTTCTTTTGCGGAGAGCGCGGCGTGCACGTGTGTGTCCATCCCGAGCTGAAGCTTTGCATCAGACGCTGCTTGTCGTGTTTGGAATGTGTGCTCGCCTACGTTGGTTAGACCTTGAAACACACAGACAAGGATGAGATTTCAACTGGCCGCATAGGTTTCCCGCCCCACCTTTGGCCTCATTAGATCTTACTTTTGGACGCTTCTCCTACCTCTGTTGCTACTAATCTAGTTCTTTTTATCAGAGTCATGATCATTTCTTAAGTTTTGTTTATGATTTTTTCACTTTTTTATTTTATCGTTAATATTTACCTTTATTTAAAATCAATTAATTAACATACAGCGTATTATTAGCTTCAGGGGTAGTAGTTTCTTTTTTAAGATTTTGTGTATTTATTTATTTATTTAACACAGAGAGAGAGTACAAGCTGGGGGGGAGGGGCAGACAGAGGGAATCAGAGAAAGAGACTCCCTGTTGAGCAAGGAGCCCAACACAGGGCTCAATCCCAGGACCCTGGGATCATGTCCTGAGCCAAGGCAGACGCTCAACTGACTGAGCCACCCAGGTGCCCCTCAGGGGTAGTAGTTAGTGACTCATCACTTGCATATAACACCCAGTGCTCATCACATCCCGTGCCCTCCTTAATGCCCGTCACCCAACTACCCCATCCCTCCACCGACCTCCCCTCCGGCAACCCGCAGTTTGTCTTTCCTAGACTGAAGAGTCTCTTACGGTTTCTCTCCCTCTCTGATTACATCTTATTTTATTTTTCCTTCCCTTCCCCTACGTTCATCTGTTTTGTTTCTTAAATTCCACAGTGGAATATTACTCAGCCATCAAAAAGAATGAAATCTCGCCCATTTGCAATGACGTGGATAGAACTAAAGAGTATTATGCTAAGTGAAATCAGTCAGTCAGAGAAAGACAAATATTGTATGATTTTTAATATTATATGTATTCCTGAATTTCACTGAGATAATAGATAACCTTTCCTACTCAGGTGTTTTAATCAAAATATTTACAGTCAAGTTTTAACATTCCATTTCTACCAGATCTCAAAAGGAAAAAAAAAAAAAAAACTGTACACAATCACAATGAAGAATTCATGTCACAACGTACCCCACATCTGTCTTGTTCCATACTGGATTCCAATTCTTTGTGAATTTCATTTTTCATTTTATCTTTTGTTGGCTCACACCCCAAAGTAGTCAGATGTTTCAGTGGGCCAGTCTAGGCACGAGGAGGTTTAAGTCAGGTACACAGATTTGGTCTTCTCAACCTTCTAGATCTTGTGACGGAAGGCAGAAGCACTGTGGAAATGTCGACTGTGAAATGCATACACTAAATTCATGGATGGGAGAGCAGGTGGACATGAGCAATGCAGTGAAATACCTTCACCTTCAAGCTGTGCATTGGCAAGGGCTAGTCTGTGTGGGTACTGGAGCAGGGCCTGCAGGCCATGATGAACAAGATGCGTGCTCCAGCCTCTGGGCCTCTGTGTAGGAGGAAGCAGTTAGCTGTGCCTTCCCTTTATAGTGAGGAGCTGCTGTGATAGGTTCTGTGTCTTACCCATGGACCAGGCCCCATCACGGGACAAGGTTGCTGGTGGGAGGCCCACAAGAATCCCGTCTCTGCCAGGATCTGAAGGGTGGAAGCTAGCCAGGCTGGCAGACAGGCAGGGGCTGCGTTCCCAGTGGGGGCTGTGGGATGAGAGCTCAGCGTGGTCCCAGAACTGGAAGAGGTTCATTTCTGAATGCCTGGCAAGTGTGGCATGACGCCCCGACAGGATGGGCCCGTCCGTTCCCAGGGCAGAGGCACCAGAATGCATCACCCGTCCTTCTGGGAGTTTCCCTGGATGACTGAGAGGCGACCCACTATAAAATGCACAGTGGAAACTGCGTGTTTCAAGGTCATCATGAATGACATGAGTCTTCTGTTCTAGGACGCCCAATATTGACCAGTTGGCTGAAGGAGGAGTGAAGCTCACTCACCACCTGGCAGCTTCGCCCCTGTGCACACCAAGTAGGGCAGCGTTCATGACAGGCCGGTACCCCATCCGATCAGGTAACCCCTGGGCTCCATAGCCATGGCTCTTGTCCTCTTGGGGGCATCCTCGACCTCCTCGTTCAATAGATCTTTTGTCCTGCTTCAGGAATGGCATCTCAGTCCCTCATGGGGGTGTTTATCTTCTCGGCCTCTTCTGGAGGACTTCCCACCAGTGAGATTACCTTTGCCAAGCTTCTCAAGAATCAAGGCTATTCAACCGCTCTGATAGGTATGGGCAGCTAAGGAGGGGGAGTCGAGGGCCTGGGCAGGGCGAGAGGGCGAGGGCATGATAACTGCCTTCTTAAGGATGACATCACTGATAACCGTTTGCACAACCTCACATGGGAAGAAATGATTTCGATTCTAAATTAAAGTACAGTGCACCTATCTGGGCTATTTGAAAGTAACGATATGTGTCGTTTTGTGTGTGTGTGTGTGTGTGTGTGTGTGTGTGTGTGTCTGTGTGTGTGTGTGTGTGTGTGTGTGTGTATGGATGAATGGATACATAGTTAAATAGATGAGATTGATAGATAATGATGGATAGATGGATGGATGGACTGATGGATGTATGGATATATGGAAAGACAGATGACATAGGTGATAGAGGCAGGAATGGATACATCAGTAGATGAAATGGATAATGGATGGATGATGGATGGATGGATGGATGGATGGATCATGGCCGGTTGGATGGATGGATGAATGGTGGATGGATGCATGATGAATGGATGAATGGAGGATGGATGGATGCATGGGTGGATGAATGGGTGATGGTTAAATGGATGGATGGATGAATGGGTGATGGTTAAATGGATGGATGGATGGAGGATGGTTAGGTGATGGTGAAATGGACAGATGGATGGATGACGGTTGGATGGATGAATAGTGAATGGATGAATAATAAGTGGATGGATGGATGATGGATGCATGGATGGATGATGGGTGTGTGATGGGTGGATGGATGGTAGATGGATGGATGGAGGATGGGCAGTTGGATAAATGGATAATGGATGGATGGATGGATTAGACACAGAGATGAGACAGATGATAGCTAATAGACTGATAAATAGATAACTGTGAAGAGCCATACAGCACGCAAAACTACATATAAACACTATGCTATTGAACATTTTCATTTTAGGTATTAATACTAAAATCATGTCAGACTCTGTCTCCGTTGACATTCTCATTGATTTTATTCAATTGATAGGAATGATCCATTCTCCCTTTTTACTTGATAAGCATAGGTCTATGTGGGTCATCAGATGAATCCTAAAATCTCTCAAAGAAGCAAAATGACCATTCTCTTTCCTCCCACCTCTTGTCATAAAACCGTCATCATGTTTTTCTTTTGTGAGGCACTCACTACTTTAGTGGTGTAATTAACATTTTATAAGAAATGTTCATAGATGTTTAAAATAATTGCTGAGTTGTGAGTGTGATTTCCTCACGCTTCAGGGATAGTTTTTTGAGAAAGGATTCGTTTTCACTTTTAATATTCAAGGGACCAAACCAAGTTGGTTCTACGACTTTAATTTTAAGGAAGTGTCTTTTAAAAAACAATTGTGTGTTTCTATGTATTTTTGTCATCTGCCTATTGATTATGTCAGGTGTTTGCCTTTTGTTTTATTTCGTTATTTTCAGCACTAAGTTATTGTTTTCTGGTAGAGTGAGTGGTTAATGCCCTGGTGTTTGTGGAAAAGGAAGAGAAACACCGTGGGGTTCTACAGAGTAGGAGTTTGGCTAATAAATGTGCAGAGCGGTCCCGCTTTTCCGTGTGTGGGAATCGGAAGCTGACATTCAGGTGGGAGTGTTTGTTGGGTCTAAATGTATCATCCATTTGTCTTCTCAGGCAAGTGGCACCTTGGGACAAACTGTCACAACAAGACAGACTTTTGTCACCACCCCTTGAGCCACGGCTTTGACTATTTCCATGGGATCCCCATGACCAACTTGAGGGACTGCAAGCCCGGAGAAGGCAGCGTCTTCACTGGGGGCATCAGGGCACTGGTCTTCATCCCCCTTCAGATCATTGCGATCACGCTCCTCACCTTGGCGGTGGTCAAGTGCCTGGGGCTGGTGCATGTGCCCCCCGGGATCTTCGTCTGCCTTCTCTGCCTGGCCGCCATGATACTCGGCCTTCTGGTGTGCTTCCTGCATTACTTCCGGCCCCTGAACTGCTTCCTGATGAGGAACCATGAGATCACCCAGCAGCCCATATCCTATGACAACCTCATGCAGAGGCTGACGGCGGACGCGGCCCAGTTCATACAACGGTTGGTATCTCCTTTTATCCGGATGCTGCCTGTTGCCACTTGGTGCTTGGTGATTTCCATGGAGGCTGGAGAAACAGGGTGGTCCTTCTAGCCACGTTTCCCCTTCTCAGCTGCGGAGATTTCTCCAACCAGGCTCTCGGGAGGAGGGGTGTGCACCGTGGAATGGCACGTGCAAGGAAGTGTGATGGAGTGGGCTCTCATCCGAGGGGCTCTGCCAGGTGTCCCTTACATCCTGTGCTTCTGAAGCCAGGCCAAAAAATGTCTCCCAGATGACCAAAGGAGCTTCAGGTGTAACCACGGTTGTTACTCTTGACTTGTGCATTGGGTGAGTATAGGTGTCCTTCTTGTGACAGAAACAACGTAGGGAAGTCCAAACAGTCTATGAAAATTTCTGAGCAGAACATGTGTATGAGGAGCCTGGGTGGAGCGAATGATCTCCTTTAGGTCGGTTAGGGCCCCTTGGGTGCACAGTGTTGAGGGCTGCGGTGAGCAAAGGGAACATCACCATCCACAGAGGGGTCGATGGCAGTCCCGAGTAGAGACTATCTCAAGAGCACCTGCTACCGAAACCAGACAAAACCATGTTGTTCCATTTGGAACTTTAGAGAAAGGTGGAAACAATCACGTGAAAATCAGACACCTGGTCTGTGTGGTCAGTTGCCAGGCACATGCTGAGAACATGAGTTTCTCAGGCACCAAAGACTGGAGACACCCATGGGTCCGAGCTAAAATGGCAGGAGGAAGGACATAATGCGGTTCTGGACAGAAGGAGGAGGGTTTTAAGCTGGTGGTCATGCTCCTGAGCTTCTGTGGTCATCACGGGCACATGGAGGTACCGTTGAGTCAGTGGTTGCCTACCTAAAGCCTAACTGTTGGCCTACACAACCAGAGTGGCAACTGCTCAGGCTTTGTGTTAGCAGAACCCAGAGGTGGTGAGTACTGAGGATTGCCAGTCTTACCTCTCCGAGATTCCGACTGTGCAGTGCTGAGACGAGGCTGCATGCGCCCGGAGAGGGTCTAAACCCCACATCTCCTAGGACACTCGGAGCAGTAACTGGAGCATGGCTGGGTTTTTGCAAAAGTCACAACTGTTGTTACGCCTGTAGATTTTTCTACAAGGGGATGCTGCCTTGTGATCGGATGCAAAATCTCAGCACTTTATGAGGTCTATATTTCATATCGTCATCTAGTAAGATAGAGACGGTTAATAGAAACAAGGTTCTCTTTGTTTTTTCTAGCAGAGTGATCACTTCTAATACTTTCCATCTTACTGCGCTGCGTTCTATTTTTTTAAAAAATCTCTCTGGCTGGGACGGTAAATTAATGTCATCACTCAAGAGTGGGGCACGGTCCGCGTGGCTAACGAAGCTCTTACCTCGTGGGTTAACCTCGCTGCGTTTTATAAGCCAGCTAACAGCCATTCCAAGATAGGATGGCTCCCCATAGGATTGTAGACCTGTCCGTCGAAGCTCAAAACCCAGCAGTGTGCTGTCTCCCAAATTTGCTAAAACAGCTGAACGCTCACCTATCGCCCTGCATCTACCAGCAATCTCTCAGAAACATATGGGAGGAGATGAACAATCCAGGGCCCCCTGAAAAAAGTCACAGGGTTCAGGAATCATCCTCGGCGTCCAGATGATTTCCTTCTCTCCAACACGCGGTATTTTGACAGAAATGATTGAATCTGTAGAGAATATGAATATTCAGATGATTACAAGGCATTTTAATGGGTTCCTCAGCACGTGACTTTGGGAGGGGACCGAAAGCAATTTGATTGTAAGGGCCTTGAAGCCTATGCAGTTGATCTTGATGATGTGGAGTTTCTGCAATTTTGCGGCAGAACTAGAGATTTAAGATGTTGTAGCAACACCACAGTTGAACCTTGTGGTTACTGAGTTAATACAGGAGAGTTTATTCTTCACAACAGATGGTTCCAGAGGAAATGCCTGTTGCCAATGTTGGCGCAGCACGTGCATGGTCGGTATTAGTGAAAATACCGCGTTTTTGTGTGCCGTGATGCTATTCACAGAAAGCTTTTTCCCCGCGTTACCTGAAGACGCAAAGATCGAAAGCATCTGGATAAAACCGTCCTTGGCTACATTTGTCGTCTTGTGCGATGCGTGACATCTGATTCAGTCCATGGGCTAGCCATGAATCTTGAGAATCCCCTCAATATGTCACCAAAGAAACGTAACAGTATTTGCAAAAAAATATTATTTTGAGGATCTGAAGACGCATTTATAAGTGTTGCGTCATTGACCGGCATATCCTGAATAACGTAGGCAGGTCTTTACCACCTTTGTGTGAGGAATGGATTCAGACTTAGGAGCAGAAGGAAAATGACCAAAAGCGATGACAGTGTTTGTGAAATTCGTGCATTAACATAAAAGACTGTTTGGGGGTGCACAGTTCCCATTGTATTCCTACGTCGAGAGTAGTGAGGAAGATGATTTAAACTCTTGCTTCTAAAATTTATCTTCTTTCTCTAAGCCTCGTCTCCGGAACGACTGATACTGCAGATGCTCACGTGTGGTTTGGAGTTGTAGAAGGCAAGGGCGTGAGGCAAAGATGCTTCGTGGGGGGGTGATGCTCTCAAATGAGGTCTCTTTAGCCAAATTTGCTGCAAACGTGCCCCTGGAGTAAAGTACACTCTTCTGTGTTGAGGAGAACAGTGGTTTGGAATATATCACTGTGCACTCCATGGTGCCTCCTCCTAATTTACTCTTGGGGATAAAATTTATCTTGGGAAGTTGCTTCTAGGGGGAAGCTAGATAATTAGCTCACCACACCATATGTTATGAGCTGTATCGTAATGCGAGAGACAGGTCATCCTTAATGCAATTCAATTGGCAAGAAGTCCGTGTTGCTCTTACAGGCAGGAATGAACTGTGGATTTCTAAGAGATTCCCAGCCCTCTCTCTGTGTCCCGAATGAAGGATCCCACAGCCATCCGGCTTGCTCCCTTGGCCATCGGTCTCTTCCGGGCTCTGTAAATCAGAGCCAGCTCGGGTGCACAGTGCAAATGGCGGCTCAGCTTGGGACATGTTCCAGTGTAAGTGACCCTTGTGGAGTGCTTGTGCGTGACCCGCCACGGACTGGAGATACACACGTCACCCGGGACACATTTCACCACGCACATCACCTCCTTCTCGTCACAAAACATCCATACGAGATGGGAAAAAGAGATGTCTTCTTGTGGAGGAATTCGAGGCTCCACACTTTGGAGTGGATAGCCAAAGCCCTACGGGTGATAGTACAACCTGGATCAAGAAGCACAGCACAATGCCTGTGAAGGCTGCTTTTCTCAGTCGGAGTGGACCGTGAAGACCCTGCCGACTTACCGCTTAGGTCTGAGTACAGAGGAGGTGGAAGAAGACCAGGGAAATTTATAGATGGAAGCGGAAGAGTCCCGGTCTTCATGCCCCCAAACTAGAAGGCATCCTGGTAATTCTCACGGGAGCTCTGATGTCCGCATACTCATTACCATGGAGATGGAGAGGTATTTGCTTATTCTGAAAAGAAATCGGAGGCCGCACAGTAACAGGTGAATTCAGCAAGTTAATTTTATTCACAAAGTAGTTTTTCTTTCGCGTAAGTCAAGGCCACATTTTAGAAGGTTAATGGCAGTGGATAGAATGAGAGAGGCGTTTCACATCGTCCTTGGCAGAGCGAGGTGAACCTTGGTCGCTCTGCAGCACGAGGAGCCAGAAATGTTGGCCCCTTTCCTCCCCAGATACATCGAAAACAGGGCTTCGTGGCTAGGAACAACATTTAAGTCGAAAGAAACCACTGTCTTTTTCTCTGCGAATACACAGATGTTGAGGCTGAAGAGGATGTTTTCAAGGACGATGGCTTTATACGCACCCGCGTGATTTGTGTAGTTTATGACCTCCAGTCACCGGATTCATAAGTTCCTGTGAACTTTACCGCAAGTGTTCTGTTGTCCAGGCCCCCACGTTCAACGCGTATTGAACAAATTCAGGATGTGTTCCGTATGCATGGAACATATTCAGTGTCGGTGCGTGCGTGTTCTAAGAGGTTGTCAGTAGAAGTGAGACAAATGCTAGTAACTTTCAGTTTACGCTAAGGATGGGACATCTCTTGGACCTTCAGCACTGAAGAGAACAAATCCACCATTTGGAAAAGAGCTACAGTTCTGTTTTTAATCACTGACTTCCTGGAGTGATGAGATCTCATTTTTGCGACTTTTAACAAACCCCGATCCCTGACCGGTCCCCCAAGGGAAGTGAGCGCACCGTGGGAATGATGGAAAGTACGAGTCGTGGGGGACGTGGTGTTGCCGGGCAGAGATTATGCCCTTACTGGAGGGTTGTGATCATGAGCTCCCTCTGCCGTGTCTTGTGCTCGGTAGCTCTACAGGAAATCGAGACTCGCTCCTGCTAACGTGGTTGGTGTCACCATAATGCCCTAAGACCTGGGACAGCTGATGAATGTATCATCAGAAGACCCGACCTTTTATCCTGTTCTGCTGCCATCGATGTTTGGCACCATCGGAATCCTGAAATGCATTTACAGGGTACCTTCAACCTAGCCTTTGACATCTGCAGCCAGACCTTGGTGTAAGTGGCCATAACGAATGGCTGTGATTTGGCCCAAAGCATGTTCCGAAGAAAGGGGTCGTGGGATGACTTTATTAGTTTCAGTAAGCGTTTAAGCCAGAGAGGGATAGGGGTGATACTGATCTTTGATTCACGGTGAGAAAAGTGCATCAGATTAACAATCAAGGGCAGTACTACAGGGACACACGCACGTGTGTTCACCAGTGGAAAGGTTAAATAATTAAAGAATTGTCTTGCTCGGTAAGGATAGATGCCCCTTGATTGGCCTCTACCGTGCATGGGTCACCAGGAGACAGGTTGCAGAGTGGAGGGGATCTTTGGCTCTTTGGACAAGCCCCCATTCCAGGCCGAGCATGCCGCAAGCTGTATGCAGGTGTGGAGGGATGCTTGCTCTTCGTGATTCTGCCTCCCGATCCGTGT